TTTGCAAAAATTACATTTGTATTTTTTACCTAAGTTTACCTATTAGGGTGTGTCGATTTTTGATTTTTTTCGAGAAAAAAATTGGGAAGTTACTAAAAGTTGCAAAATTTGACGGAGAAATATGTTTTTAAAAATTGAATTAAAAAATTTTTTGCTTAGGTGATTTAACTTTTTATATTTCAATAAAATTTTGACCTGGTTTCTCAAAAAAACCCGGTTTTTACTTGGAAATTAATAAGCTTTTTTTCTACTTTGTTTGATAAATATCAGTTGAAATATAAATGTTGATTAAAACTAATTTTAGATATTATAGTACTTTCTTTAAGAATTTGCATAAAATATAAATGAAATATTTCTTATTTCAAAATTAGACTTTGAAATTAATTTTTAATATGCATATTAATTTAAAACTGAAATTAAATTGAGATTAATTTATCTATATATAAATTAATCTCAATTTAATTTCAGTTTTAAATTAATATGCATATTAAAAATTAATTTCAATATATATATATCAAGGGTTGAATTAACGCATCGCGATTTGCGATATCTGTTAAATTATCTGGTCTTCAAAAATTTACGGAATAGGCGAATAAACTTTAATTTGTTAGTGAAAATGTTATGAAAAACAAAACAATAAATTTATGACTACAAAAGTAATAACACTACAGTGTTGTTACTTTTATAACACTCTTTTAAGTTACATTTATAGTTTATTATTTGATCAAACAACACCTAATCAAGATATTAAAAATAAAAATGATTTAGTTAAGTAATTCCAAACTTTAATTAAAGTAGTAATGCATCTAAAAAAAATACAATGGATAATTAAACAATGTTAAAAACCTCAGCAACTTTTACGAATAAATATTTTTATAAACAGTTTAGCATTTTTAAACATCTTACTAACGGTCCGGAAATAACGCGCGTTCACTTTAAAATCAACCAATAAAAACACTGGTAATTTACTTCTTAGGAGAAATCTATATTAAAAGGGGAGGGGGGGGGGATGCTAAAAACTTAAATTTTGTTTTATTATTTAATCAATTAAATCATAATAAAAGTAAAGACAAAAAAATATATTTCTAAATATACTTCTTTATAACTGAAATTTATTAAATTGAACACCTCTGTTTTTAGTTTTAAGTAAATGTCAGTACTACTCTCAGTGGCGAAACTGCGGGGGGGTGGGGGTGGGGGCTTTGGTTAACAGATAAAAAGTGTCCTATTTTTAAACTAATTTTAGGTTGCATGGGCGATATGGGGCTGATTTTGAAAATCGTGTTATTTGTTTATAACAAGTCACTTGTTATAATCTCAAAACAAAAATTTAGTGAAAATTGGCCTTAAAATTAAAAAATATATATATTGGTAACCGATAAATAATAAAACATATATTGTAAATCCTCCCGCTTTTTTTATTATTTCCTCCTCCCATTTTATACATCCTGACTAAAATTCCCACCCCCACCTACCTTTCTATTAAGCACATTAGAGTAGTCAGTAGCAAAATCCTTCCCCCCCTCCGCACGATTTTTTAAAATGAGCTCCATATCGCCCAGATAATTTAACAGATATCGCAAATCGCGATGCGTTAATTCAACCCTTGTATATATTAAAATATTTTTCAATGTATTTTAAATACAGTTTGCCTTAACATCGCGTAATAATTTTATTGGTATTGATGCTAGAAATACAGCAAGATATTAAAAAAAAAAACCCGAATTATTTTAATAAATATTATAAGTTTAATACAAAAACATTTGTGTCAAACTTTCAAGGTCTTGCTTACTATTATTTTTAGGCATTAACTTTCTACTCGCCTCTTGAGTTCGGACAAATCCTTCTCTCTTTTCATGAGTGTACACTCTACTTGAAGCTTCTGTAACTTGCTTTACGCAACGTTCAACAGATTGTCCATGACATGGCCAAATCGGCACCTGCATAGGATTTGATAAAAACACATTAATTTCAGAAGTTGTTAGAGAGGTAGTTAAGACTGGTTCATAAACCGGTGACTCCCATGATATTAAATCTACCAATTTTTCAGCATTAAAGTTCAGAACAGGCGTTTTTCTTGGTCTAGAAGAGGAATCACCTTTTTGTAGATCTTCATGTCTAGTACCTCTAATATCTTTTATCTTATTTATAGCTACACTTCTATCCTCTTCAGTATTAGAACACAACAATGTTTGTAGTATACACTCACTGAAACAAAACCAAGCTGATCTTTGAATAGAGAGTGATACTATTTTAATGACATCTTCTTTTTGAAATTTAAGTTGCTGCAGTTGGTAAAGTACATGTTTAGGACCTTCAATCCAAGAATGTTCAACTTTAATCTTAAACCAACAAGGAAAATAAACACCTACAATGTACTCGGTGATAGATCTTAAATTTTCTAAATCTTTACCTTGAATTCCATGTTTAGAGATCCATATTCTACATATTCTGTTAGCAGTAGTTAACCATCTTGAATGTGAAACAGGCCCAATTTGTAATAAATGAAATTTTGGTGGTAAAATACCACTTCTAATGGCACAAACAACTTTATAACCATAAAATTGATCTGCAGATAGGTCATTTATTATTTTATCATCGAGAGAAATAAGTGGATTGCCAATTTTAATAGTTTCAAATACTGGATTTATATCTAGATCTGTAGCATGATCAAGCATGGAACCAATAACACCAGACCATTTATTGTTTGACTTCATTTGACCATCTAAATTGGTTATAAGATGTCTCAGTGGTAACTCATTTGTATGGAGTTGACATATAAGCCAAACAAGTTTTTTTCCTAATTTTATTTCTATATGTTTGATGACTCCACCCTCCCAACCGATGTTTACATTTGTAGAGTCTCCACCAACAGCCAGTAAAGACTTGTCAATACCTCTCTCAGTCAGCCATTCAACAATTTTATTTGCTATAATCTCTGCATGTTTAACACTTTTTGCTGCTTTCTCAGGAGTAAAGTGAAACAAATATTTTCCTCCAGGTTCCATACAAACAGAGTAATGTTCTTCTTTCACTGTTACTGGAAATTTTGCATTTGAGTCATCAAGTTCAATTATTTGCTTGGTTTGATCAATTCTCCCATCAAAAAATATGCATTTCACTTCTCCACTTTTTGCTATTTTGTCAAAATCCTTAATAAGATCAGAGATAACTTCTTCTTGCGCTCTCGAAACTTTACTATGATCAATAATTAACTTTTGATCATCAGATGTTATTAATCCTGCATCAATTAGTGTTGCTGTAGCAATTGCAGCTGTAGCACGTGCAGATACCCCATATCTATGTGAGCAAAATTTACACAGAAATAGAATTATTTTTAAATATATATATATATATATATATATATATATATATATATATATATATATATATATATATATATATATATATATACCTTTATAAGGATAAATACATTACTAAAAAACAAATTTATTTAAAAAGAATTATACCTTACGCTATTCATAGCTATGTGTGAAATTTCTAAGGTATTGTAACATCTTTTTTTTCCTAATGATTTCTCTAGTACTAAAGGTAATTCTACATTAGTAATATCATCAATGTTATCATTTAATTCTATTTCATTACTAAAATCACTTTCTTTTTGAAAGTTTATCTGATCTGACTCAATTTTTTGTTTTTTAGTTAAAATAACATTGCTGTCTTTATTCTCAAAATATTTTTCTCGATCTTTTCTAGGAAATCTTTTGAACTGTTTCCTGGTTTTAATACTATCAGGTAATCCAATTTGAAACTTGCTAACAGTTCCAGTTTTAATTCTTTGAAAATATATAAACTTAACGTCAATAGATGGTATTTTGTACTCTTTGATACATTTGCATTTACAATGAACTTCTTTATCACAATCATCAGAACAAATAAAATCATCACATTTTACAATTGGACATTTGCATACTAGTATATCAAAAAGTTTATCAAGTTTTTCTTTAAATTTTATTATTTGTTTAGTTCTTTTTTTTCTTGGACAAGCTATTGCTGAAGTGTTGTTCCACTAAGTCACTATTTTATCACAAATTGTTTTATCAGTAATTAATTTAGGCGATGTAAATTCCAAATTTGCACTCGACCACTGGTGTAATAAAGCTGGAAGTATATCTTTGGCCATTTCTTTTACAGGATAATTTCTTTTTTTTATGTCTTCGCAGCCCTCTCTTAACCCTTTGAGCGCGGAATAAAACTTAAACACCGTACGGAGAAACTGAACTAAAAAAAAACAAACAAACAAAAAAAAAACTATTTTAAATTTTAGTTTTTTTTCTTCTAGTTTTTAGAAGAATTTAAGAAATGCGATGTATTTAATTTATAGCTGTTGTGTGGTAATTTGAAAAGCGTCCAGGGCACAGTCCAACACAACATGACTGACACTGCCAACTGGTACGAACACGGGTTAGGTGCCCAGCTACACATTTTATTTTTTTTCCTGAACCAATTTTGACAAGGTTATGTCCATATAAAGGATTATTAATTGCTGTGTGTTGAGGAAGTGGGTATGGTACAATTGTACTTCTTGCCGTTTCCATCTCCCTAGATGTTCGTCTTTTTGATACTACTTTTACTCGTTGATACCCTCCAGCTAAACTTTCCACAACTGCCATCATAAAACTTATTCTAGACATAGGCTTACGTTCAATAGTGTTAAGCTTATACAATAAGTAGCTGTTAAGAATAGCCCTGCCAAATAAAGAAAAGGCAACTTTTGTAGTCCACTTTATTGTCTTACGCTCTGATACAGGTAAACGTAGAGCTGTGCATCTCCCAAATCTACCCCTCCCATGGTTCGATTATATAGGGCAACAACGTTTGGCTTCATAACTAAATTACCTCTTCTGTTGCGCAATTCAGTAAAACCTGCTTTGGCAACAGTAGACAGTAATACAGGTTTTTTTTTACCATCTTGATATGCCACACATAACAAAGGACCTTTTCTATATTGGCAAACTTCTTTGTTTTTTAATTTTGTTTTAAGGCAGATTTCTGTCAGATCTTTTTATGTTTACTCTTACTGTTCCTGTTGCTGTGGTTTGATGTAGATATAGATCCAATAGCAGTTGTGGAGAAGTGTAATAGTTATCAATACCTAAGTGATAACCTTGATGAAGGAGGTTGGCTTGACGCAAAAGACGAAAAACCAAGTTGTAAGTCATACCATGGGCAATAACAGCTTCATCTGGATTTTTTCCTCCCTTGTAAATTTCAAACTTAGATAAATACCCATTAGTGCTGTCTGAAACACACCATAATTTTATTCCAAATCGAGAATGACGCTTGTTTGGCATATATTGGCGGAGATGTGGTGTCTTTCCCTTGTAACCAATCATGCTCTCATCTATAGAAATATCTTTTTGAGGAATATAAAAATAGAGAAATTTTTTGTTAAAATGTTCAACTAAATACTGAACTTTATAAATCTTATTTAGTTGCTGTTGATTAGGGATAGAGATATCAGTAAAGTGAATAAATTTAAGTAAAAGTTGAAAACGGTCACGATTGAAATGAGTAACAAACCAGGGAGTGGAAGCACAAGGATGACTAATATCCCAATATAGTTTAATACTAGCTTTCTTGATTAGACCCATATTGATAACAACACCAAGGAATGCCTTTATTTCTAAAAGATTTGATTTTCCTTGCTTTATCCATACATGACCTATCGACAATGGATGAGATCTCAAATGCTGTTGGTTACTTTGTATCCATGCATCAGCATACTGGTTGGTATAAGTTACTAACTTTTCCAAAAACTCTATAGTGAAAAATAATTCAACATAATCAATGGGCTTTGATTCTGGTGAAATAGTATGTTTGGGTCCTGGTACACCAGTAAAAGCAAAAACATTAGGGCCATTGTCATCTCCTACAACAGGAAGCCACAAATCTAAAACATCATCATCAGAACCGGAGTCTACATAAAAACAAAAACTTCAAATGCTTAGATTTGGTGATATATTTAAATTAAATAAATTTGTATACAATTTTTCAATAAAAAATATTGTGCCTTCATCAAATAAACTATCATCACTGCTACTTAAATATTTTTCGCTTGTACAACTTTCTTCTTCAGTAAAACTTTCTTCGCTGTCACTCATCTTTAATACAAAATATACACAAACAATATACCAAAAGATAGAAAAAAATGTGCTCTATTCAATGGTACCATTTTTAAATTATGAACAGCGGTATTTCTGTAGAAAAAGTCGTAGTTCTGATGAACACTTTTAAAGCCACGATCGTGGCTCTACCACTGATCTCTATAATAACTGGATAGCGCATCTCTAATATCAAAAGTGAAGCCAATATTTTGTACGGCCGCTATATTGGAAAGCCCCAGAAAACCGAAAATACAGTGATTGCGCTTGAAGATGTACCTTTTTACTTCGTTTATATCTACTCGACCAAGTCACATATTTCAATGATATTATTATATTTAAAATGTTTGAAGGTGTAAAAATTATAAAAGGGAATCAAAAACACGCAGAACATTAACGACGAAGAGAAATATCGCTATAAAGAAATAATAAAATTTGTATTGCTTTCTATGAACTTGTTAAATTTATTGAATTCATGATATTCTAAATAAAACTTTTCTGAAAGACAAATTGATATTTGATCTGGTTACTTTTGGTTGTTTATTTTAACAACTTGATGCGACCTTACTTAGCAATAGTAGCTGGAAAGTAACTTTACAAGTATAAAACATGATAAAAACATTGTATCAAACATTTTTGTAAATGGTTTTCTAATTTTTGATAGCGATTCCACGGCTAAGCGAAAAACATTTGACGTTTGACAAAAAACACGAAATTTTCATGAAGTTTGCTCTCTTATATCTTTTTGTATAGGAAAGCAAGCAACCTCAGGTTTTTTGCATCAATTAGTGTTACTCAACCTCTTTTCAGCCACATATAAAAAGTACTATGCTTTATATGGCTTCACTTAAATATTATCCATATCTTGAGACCACTTTAGATAAAAAATCTTGAAGCGGGAACGTTTTTTTAAAACGAATCTTTTGGAGGTAAGGATTCCGAAGTACCAAAACAAATCCAATTTTTTTAAAACTTTCCGTATATATTAAAAAAAGGTTGAGGAATCTAATGGAATGTGAACACTTTTTAACATTTATACATAAATTTTTAGTTCTCAGTGTTTAAAAACTTCAAGGTTAATTATTATAGAAAAAAAAGTGATTTTTGAAAGTGTTCAAGTGGAAATGGCAAATTCGGCCTTTCCTCTATTTAAAACAAGTGTTTAATTATGTTTTCTTAAAAAATAGGTGCTTCGGATTTGTATATTAGAATTATGTATATATATATCTATATTTCTTCGCGTATTTTATGACGTTTTTTGTTTTGATTTTGCAATTCCGAAATTTTAACTACAAATAAAATTGAAAGTGAAAGTATATTCCTTATTAATGACTTAAGTTTTCAAGGCAATAAAAATAAAGATTTTATATTTTTAAATGTATTTTGTTTGGATTGTTCAACTACAAGCTTGATTCTCACTGTTTCTACTACTGTTTTTAGTCTGTAGATTCTCTAAACTGTTTTTTTCAAAACAAAAAGAAATAGTAATCAACTAAACTTTTAGTCTAAAGTTTACAAAATGGAAATGTGTAAGAATGTTATCATTTTTTTTTTCATTTTTTTTTATATTTTTTTATTGGCTAAGTAAAATAACCAATGAACTTTAATTTCAAATTCAAATTCTCTTCTTTAGGCTGTGAACTTAACAATCTACGTGAAATGGTGGTTCAATCTATAAGTCAAGAATGTAAGTCATACTTTGATACAAATCTATAAGTCAAGAATGTAAGTCACACTCTTCATCAAATTCATTGTCATCTAGAACACTTACCATGGTATGGTAAGTGTTCTAGACGACAATGAATTTGATGAAGAGTGTGAGTTTCAGATACTATATGATGGATATGAAGATAAGTATGATATTGAGTTGGTCAAAGAGTGGAGGATGAAATGTGTTGTGATAGAGGGAAAAGCTGATGGTTATGTGGAGGGCGAAGTTTGTAAAAAACAAAAATGCAGTTAATATCATTTTTGACACAATGGGGATTTAATTTATTGTATTTATGTTTGTTATTATTCTTATTATTAATAATATTATTGTTATTATTATTTTTATTGTCATTTAATTTAATGTGTTCTTGTTTGTGTTCTGTTTGGTCATCTGGAGCGGTGTTGGCGCACTGACAATTCTTTATATGTATATTTGTTTTCTATTGGACATCTGCCATCATGGTGACATACCCGTAAGTCATGCTTTATATTTTTGTGCTGACATACCTGTCAATATATGTATCCTTGTGTTTACATTTTTTTGTGTTTGCATGTATGTTTTTGTAGGTGTGTCTGCAATTATTTGCATGTTTGTTTTTACTCACTTGTTAGTCACTATATGCATGTTTGCGTTTATGTATCTGTTAGTCATTATGTGTATGTTTGTGTTCTGTTGGACCTCTGAAGTGGTGTTGACGCACATGTAAGTCACTATATGTATGTTTGTGTTTATGTACCTGTTACTCATTATGTGTATGTTTGTATTCTGTTGGACCTCTGAAGCGGTGTTGGCGCACCCGTAAGTCACTATATGTATGTTTGTGTATATGTATCTGTTAGTCATTATGTGTATGTTTGTGTTCTGTCAGACCTCTGGAGCGGTGTTGACACACCCGTAAGTCACTATATGTATGTTTGTGTTTATATACCTGTTACTCTTTATGTGTATGTTTGTGTTCTGTTGGACCTCTGGAGCGGTGTTAACGTACCCGTAAGTCACTATATGTATGTTTGTGTTTATGTACCTATCAGTCATTATGTGTATGTTTGTGTTCTGTTGGACCTCTGGAGCGGTGCTGACCCACCTGAAGTCATTATATGTATGTTTGTATTTATGTAGCCATTAGTCATTATGTGTATCTTTGTGTTTATCTACCTGTAAGTCATTATATGTATCTTACTCTTTTGTTGGAACTGTGGAATGACTTTAATTTCATTTGATAATGCAGGTTAGTCATTTTGATCAAGTTTTTGTTTTTTTTATTTATGTTTGTGTCTGTTGGTCTTGTGGCACAGCGTTGAAATAACAGTAAGTCATTGTATGTATATTTGTGAGTTGTTCCAACTAGGCTGCAAGCAATCATTGTAGGAGTTGGAAGTTACTGGAAGAGAAAAGATGAAGTTTGTAGAGTAAGATAACAATTGACAGATGACTTAAAAGATCGCAAATTATATGAAACAGGGAAGCAAGATAAAGGAAGCGAATTCCAAAGAACTGATGTTCGAGGAAAAAAATAGAAGAATAAGAGTTTTTGGAGCACTTAGAAACAGCCACAAGAGAATGAGTTTTAGTAGATAAACAAGGGACTCTAGCTATTTAGAGCAGTGCCCATATTTGTAGAAAAGAGAAGGAGAAGCACCATTACAACGATTTGATAATGGTTGGAGGTTGGCTGCAAGAGCAGGTCCAACTATGTTTACAATGCATTTTTGCTCCTTGTCTTAAAGAGAAAGGGCATCATTAGAATATCTGCCCCAGCGTTTTTTGCAGCGTTTAGTGCCACAGGGTCTGTGTCTTTTGTGATTGTGATGTTATTGTTGTGATGTTTTGTGTTGATAGACAACTTGGCTTACCTTCTCGCTGGTGTCTATCGTTAAAAATGATTATTAGGTTGTTTCGTTACTGAAACTACTTCTAATCATTCACTAAAAGCCAAGAGATAAATTTTAGACAAACAATATTTTTTTGTTTTAATGTTGTTTTCATTTTTTCATTTTAGGTGTTGTCGATAGTTCACAAATCTCAAAAAATAAGTTTCTTATTTTATATTTATTTAGTTTTAGTTGTTAATTTATAACTTTTTTTAATTTTTTATTTTTAAAATGAATTAACAAATATATTTTTTTTAAATTATTGTGTATCTAATGTTATTTGATGTATTATTGTATGTATTTAGATGTATTGTTTTTAATAATAATTTTATTACAATTTTAGGTAGAGTTCTGCTGTTACACCTACTATTATGTTGTAAGTACTCAAAATTTCAGGAAGTTCTGTTGCTGCAAGTTATTTTCATTCAAATTTGAATTTTAGTTTTATTAAAGAATCTTCTGTCTGTTAAATAGGTGATTCTGAATGATTTATTTCAATGCCCTTACGCAGTGATTTACTAATCGGTTTGTAAATAAAGCAATAGTTTTAAACAGATGAATTAATTGGATTCCACGATCCTTTATGCATATAGCATGAAGTTTTATAATATAACCTAAATTTTTTTCTTTTTTTTTCTAAAAGATTTAAATCTAAATTCATTTTTAAAAGACTAGGTAAATAAATAAAAACATTTCAGTCTGTAAAATTAACAATTCTGGATAATTTTGACAGATGCAAAAAAAATTATGGCATTTAATATTCTTATAGTATATAAGAAAATTAAATGCCATAATTTTTTTTGTATCTTTATCAAAAACTTCAATTTCAAATTTCTTCAGTCTGTAAAATAGACAATTCTGTATGATCCCAACAGATTCAATAAAAACTGGCACACTATTTAAAATTTCAAGTCAAATATAATAACTGTTCAAATATATCAAATATATTTAAGGTCGATATGCCCAATTAGTTTGTGCATCCCTTTTTCTGTAATTTAATGACCGGTCTGTAATTTATGCAATAATTTTACTGACAGGTCTGAAAATTATGCAATAGTTTTTAAATGATGTATTTTTTGGATTCCATGATTCCTTTATGCATATTTTCAAAGTGCAACCATAGTTTTTTTCATCATAACACAGTTAAATAAGAAGAAACCCTTCAGTCTGTAAAATAAACAATTCTGGATAATCCCAACAGATTTAATAAAAACTGGATCACTATTTAAAGTTTTTAGTCAAATGTAATAACGGTTCGAAAATATTAAAAATTTAAAAAAAAATTACAAATTATTTAAAGTTGATATGTTTAATTTGTTTGAACAGCCCATTTTCAGCAATTTACTGACCGAAAGTAATTTATATGATTATTTCACTGACCGGTCTGTAAATTACGCAATAGTTTTCAAATGCTTTTTTTTTTGGATTTCATGATTCTTTTATGCATATTCACATGGTATAATTATAATATCACCCCAACTTTTATTCTCCAAAACTAAGAAAATAATGTAAAATCCTTCAGCTGTAAAATAGATGATTCTAGACAATCGCAACAGATTTTTTAAAATAAAATTTTGTTTTTTTATTTTCTAATAGTTTTTTGATCACTATGAAAAATTTCAAGTCAAAAGTAATAACCATTCAAAAGTTATTCAAAAGTCAGTATGACCCCAAAAATATAGTAATTAGTAATAACTCTCAGTCTGTAAAATAGGTGATCCTGGTAGATCCTGACAGATTTTTAAAAAAAAAATTTGGTTTTTTATTTTCTTATAGTTGTTGGATTGCTATAGAATGTTTCAATTCAAATGTAATAACGATTCAAAAGTTAGTAAAAAGTCAGTATGACCCTAAAAATGTATAAATTGGTAAAAATTCTGGTCTGTAAAATAGATAATTTCTGGTCAATCCTGACAGATTTCTAAAAAAAAAAATTTGGAATTTTATTTTCTTATAGTTATTTGGTCACTATGGAAAATTTCAAATCAAATGTATCATCGGTTCAAAAGTTATTCAAATGTCAATAATACTTTCATTTTCGGTGCCATTTCGCAGTAAATTTTCCATACTTAAGCCCTATACCTTTTGTCAAAAAATTACCCGTTTTTTCACTACAAAAAGGTCAATAACTTTTGATCCGCTTAACTTCAAAGGCTAAATGACCCCTCATTTTTTAAGTCAAACCAAGCTCTATACAATGACATTAATTATATTTGAATATTTTAATTATAAAAAAATCGTCTGGAATGGCTATTTTTGAAACTCTGAGGACATGTTTATATTGTTCCACAACTGAAATATCATCAACTATGCAATACTTTATTAAAATTGATATCACTTAATAACAATGTTTTGTTCTGTTGCTTTGCTAACTTTAATTACACTTTGTGAAGGTTTGAAAAAGCCATCTCTAACTTTAAAAAACACTAGATATTTGGTGATAACTAGTTATTTGCAGTTTTACATTAAAGTATTTAGTGTTTTAGACTAAATAACAGCATCACATACATGTTGATTGTTTATATGTAAATATGGTATAAATGAAAACAAACATGGTTTCTTTCAAGTTTTTTTACAACTATTGACTCTAAAGTAAAATAATAATGATTCAGCTAACATCTATCAGTTTTATACTGATAAATATTAGTTGCATAACTAATAGATATTAAAAATATTTCTTGTGAAAACAAATAAGCAACAAAAGACCAAAACGAAAGGTGAACAATTTTTTTATAAGTGTACATACTTTTTTACTTTTCCTTACCACATAATACCTTTTTATTCAATGTTCATTTTGTTATTCAATGCTTATACAAGTTATTCAGTGATTATTTTGTTCAAGATGATAGAGCTAACTATTATTTTATTTATATATTTTTTCTTTAACATATTCTTTTGTAATTGCAATATCTTATACAAATGTTCTGGTGTTGTGAAAATGTCTAATGGCATTTACAAAAATGTTTTGAAAGTATTTTTCGACAGTTAAGCGTTAAGTTAATTTATATATATAAATATATATATATATATATATATATATATATATATATATACACGCGAGAACAAAATTATTAAAAGTAAATATAAAGATTTGCTATATGTTGCCTAAGGAACCTTTAGGTTGTGTTACAATCACATTGCCTAACTAATGATTCATACAGCAAACTTGTAAGCTGTTTACCTTGCAAATATGTTACAAGCCTCAGGCATTTTGCAGAGGGCAATTAAGAATCAAAAGGTGCATACTAATATACACTTGCATGCTATTATAATAATATTATACCAGGGTGGCCAGCTAACTAGAAATCATGGAAAAGTCAGGGAATTTTTTTCTAGTCAGGGAAATCAGGGAAAAATGTCTTTTTTGAAAATTTAATTTTTTTTAAAGGTTTTTTTTTACTTACTCCCAAACAACAAAACTTAAAAATTCACACTTCAAAATATAACTGAGTCAGGGAAAAATATAAAAAGTCAGGGAATTTAATTCTTGAAAGTGGCTGGCCACCCTTTATACATAATTTATATATATATATATATATATATATATATATATATATATATATATATATATATATATATATATATATATATATATATATATATATATATATATATTTATATATATGTATATATATATAAATATATGTATATATATATATGTATATATATATATATATATATATATATATATATATATATATATATATATATATATATATATATATATATATATATATATATATATATATATTTATGTCACTCTCCATGAAATAATCTGAACATATAACATCAGATTTACTCGGTTATTAATAATCAATGAATTTATAAGGTTTTTGCATTTTTTATTTATCAAGCGAAATCTGCATATAAGTTTGACGCAACTACGGATTTATAAATTCTGGGGCTTTCCAATATGGCGTCTTTTGGCTTCAAAAATTTCGAAATTTTATTAGGAGATGCGCTATCCAGTTATTATAGAGATCAGTGGGCTCTACGTGCTCTGACGGTATAGCCACGATCGTGGCTCCCCGTGCTCAAAGGGTTAATAAAATTGCATATCTTATAACATCTCTGTTGGTTGGTAATTCTGAAACTAGAAATTGTTTTCCTGTACCAAATGCAACACTAATTTGCGTACAAGTACTTATTCTGGTTTTGGGTGCCATTATTCCTCAAAGTTATAAAATTTTTAAAGAGAATTTATTATTGTTTAGTAATGAAAAATTTTCTTTTTTTAATATTTTAAGAATGAAAACAATTGATCAAAAGTTCTTAAATTTATATTTCACAATATGCAGTTCGCAGTTGTTTACTAAATGCGGCAATGAAAAATTAATTTACTGACCATTATTAAGATTGAAAAATTACGTTTGAGTAAATTTTTTTTTTAATAAAAAGTTATTTTACGCATTTAATACAAAAATTTTTTAAATACTTTATACATATTAAGTTAAATGATTTTTTTATAAACTTAATGTAAATTTGTTTTGTTGTTTAAAAGTCTGTTTTTTTTTACGTACAGTATTGTCCGGTAACGTCGTTGTTCCGTTTAAAAGGAAATAAAAACCGTTAATACTTTCATAAAAAGGCTAATCACCTAAGTAAATATTTTTCTGATTTAAAAAATTTTAACAGATTTAGATTCTCCGTAAAATTTCGCAACTTTTAGTTATACCCCAAATTTTATTAAACTTTTTTTTCAAAAAAAATCTAAAATTGACACACCCTATTACCTATAGTTCTTCATTGCTCTGTAGGATAATGATTTTTTGATTTATTCACACAACCTGTGTCACATGTCATAAAAAAAAAATAAAAAAAAAATTTTATTCCAGCCAGAAGCGAATTGATCTAAAAGACACAAATTCCGGCCGGAATTCCGGTCTATCCCAGTTATAATTGATGTAACAAATTAAAATAAGATACTTTGCAACATCAACGTTCCGAAGTGCAATTTTATCGACCAACCGTTATAGATAAGTGAAGAAAAATAAACAAATATCGACTTACCATTAGGAGTAGGCACTGCAAAATATGCTTAGATTGACTTACCGTTAGGGAATAGTGCGACAAAATGTACTTACATTGGCTGCGGTAAGTTTGTAAGTTTGTTAATGTAGAAAAATCATTATTTTAATATTAAAAAAATAATTTTTATTTTAATTTATAATAGTTATTTCAATGCTAATCGAAGGTAGTGTTTTTTGTTGAGCAACGTTATAGTTATTAATTTGAGTAACACTACGAGATGTAATTCAAAAAAGATTTTTTAGAAATGCCTGATAATAGTTTTAGTGGTATTTTTTATTTTACTTTGACGTCAAATTAGAACACTTTATGTTGATAAGCATAAAATTCTCCATAAATAATTTTATGCTCATCAAAAATCATATAAAAACATATGTCTGAAAATATGATATATCATAATAAATAATTAAAAAAACCAGCAAGAGAATCCGCAGTTAAGGTTAGTTAGACTTTGTCAAACTAAATATTAGTTAACTAAACCTGCTGATAAAACTTTGGCACATTAGCAGTTTGGTTACTTCTTGCTATATCGCAGAAAATTTCAGTTTTTTTTTTGTTCGTCATGATTTAAATAGTCTTATAAAATGATAAACTAAATTTTGGCATAAATGTCAGTTAGAACCTTGTCAAACCAACGC